TTCATGAGGTGGTTTCCTGAGGTGGTTTCATGAGGTGGGTTCAAAGCAATCAACAGTTTCAATTACAGGTTTCAACCATGGGTTTCAACCATGGGTTTCATTAGGTTTGCCAACAACGGTTTCCATGGTTGTTTCATGATGTGGTTTCCTTAGGTGGTGTCCTTCGGTGGTTTCGCAACCATGGATGTTGTTGCGAAACATGTTTTGCATTTTTCGTTTATTGTGGTGTGGTTGAACTCCAACCACTTAACTGCTAAAACTTGAGAATGTTTGCTCCCCTTCCAACGTCAACCAAGCCACTACGTTTCAACCATGGGTTTCATGAGGTGGTTTCCTGAGGTGGTTTCATGAGGCTGTCTTCAAAGCAATAACAGTTTTCAATTACAGGTTTCAACAATGGGTTTTCAACCATGGGTTTCATTAGGTTTTGCAACAACGGTTTTTCATGGTTGTTTCATGATGTGGTTTCTTAGGTGGTTTCCTTCGTTGGTTTTCGCAACCCTGGATGTTGTTGCGAAGCATGTTGCATTTTTTTTCTTATATTTTGTGGTTTATTGTTGAACTCCAACCCTTAAACTGCTAAAATGAGAATTTTTGCTCCCTTCCAACGTCAACCAAGCCACTACGTTTCAACCATGGGTTTCATGAGGTGGTTTCCTGAGGTGGTTTCATGAGGTGGTTTCAAAGCAATCAACAGATTCAATTACAGGTTTCAACCATGGGTTTCAACCATGGGTTTCATTAGGTTTGCCAACAACGGTTTCCATGGTTGTTTCATGATGTGGTTTCCTTAGGTGGTTTCCTTCGGTGGTTTCGCAACCATGGATGTTGTTGCGAAGCATGTTGCATTTTTCGTTTATTGTGGTTTAGTGGTTGAACTCCAACCACTTAACTGCTAAAAATTGAGAATGTTTGCTCCCCTTCCAACGTCAACCAAGCCACTACGTTTCAACCATGGGTTTCATGAGGTGGTTTCCTGAGGTGGTTTCATGAGGTGGTTTCAAAGCAATCAACAGTTTCAATTACAGGTTTCAACCATGGGTTTCAACCATGGGTTTCATTAGGTTTGCCAACAACGGTTTCCATGGTTGTTTCATGATGTGGTTTCCTTAGGTGGTTTCCTTCGGTGGTTTCGCAACCATGGATGTTGTTAGCGAAGCATGTTGCATTTTTCGTTTATAGTGTTTAGTGGTTGAACTCCAACCACTTAACTGCTAAAATTGAGAATGTTTGCTCCCCTTCCAACGTCAACCAAGCCACTACGTTTCAACCATGGGTTTCATGAGGTGGTTTCCTGAGGTGGTTTCATGAGGTGGTTTCAAAGCAATCAACAGTTTCAATTACAGGTTTCAACCATGGGTTTCAACCATGGGTTTCATTAGGTTTGCCAACAACGGTTTCCATGGTTGTTTCATGATGTGGTTTCCTTAGGTGGTTTCCTTCGGTGGTTTCGCAACCATGGATGTTGTTGCGAAGCATGTTGCATTTTTCGTTTATTGTGGTTTAGTGGTTGAACTCCAACCACTTAACTGCTAAAAATTGAGAATGTTTGCTCCCCTTCCAACGTCAACCAAGCCACTACGTTTCAACCATGGGTTTCATGAGGTGGTTTCCTGAGGTGGTTTCATGAGGTGGTTTCAAAGCAATCAACAGTTTCAATTACAGGTTTCAACCATGGGTTTCAACCATGGGTTTCATTAGGTTTGCCAACAACGGTTTCCATGGTTGTTTCATGATGTGGTTTCCTTAGGTGGTTTCCTTCGGTGGTTTCGCAACCATGGATGTTGTTGCGAAGCATGTTGCATTTTTTGTTTATGGTTTAGTGGTTGAACTCCAACCACTTAACTGCTAAAAATTGAGAATGTTTGCTCCCCTTCCAACGTCAACCAAGCCACTACGTTTCAACCATGGGTTTCATGAGGTGGTTTCCTGAGGTGGTTTCATGAGGTGGTTTCAAAGCAATCAACAGTTTCAATTACAGGTTTCAACCATGGGTTTCAACCATGGGTTTCATTAGGTTTGCCAACAACGGTTTCCATGGTTGTTTCATGATGTGGTTTCCTTAGGTGGTTTCCTTCGGTGGTTTCGCAACCCACACTACGAATGCAAGACGTCTCTTTAGGCGCTGATGGCCGAGGCCAGCTCGGAGGAGTCCTCTGGGAGCGATCTGGAGGCCAGCGACTCGGCCTAGTGCGACGAGGCCAGGCGCCGTTGGGTCGTCGGTTTGGGCTTGGCGTTTTAAGGGGAGAAAATGATATGCCCCCATGCTTTCGACATACATATCTATCCAGCATATTTTGGGTGCCCTCCAATGAAGGGCACTTGACATGTTTTTGCATCGAGGGCACTTAAGGCCGTGTCGGTGGCCTAAGTGACCCCTTCATTCGTTTGCTAAGTTGATAGGGGTCGGGATTCTGTTGAAATCGAACAGCTACCCGTGTCGAAGTGTGACAACTGCCACGTTTGATTGGAGCCAACCCGGAAAGCCCGAACATGGCGTTTTGAGTGTCAAAGCGTGTCATTTGCGTGTCAGTGGGGGTGCGAATCAAGGTCACTTACCCGTTGAAAAGGTCACTTACGCTAGTGTCGGTCCCCTCTGCGTGAGTGTCATTCGCTTTTTTCGAGGTCTGAATCACCATTACTTTCATTTGCATCATCAAAAGGGTTACAGTATTGTAATCTTGCGTTATGTTTACATGTTTGTGATCCATTTTCACGTGAATGGGTCGGCCCCCCGCCCGTGTGAGTGTCAGTCGCATTTACGTGTCGCTGCGGCTCGATTTGCCCAGACTGAGGAGGGATCTGCTGGGGAGGGCAACCCTGAGGGTCTAAGTGCCCTTTAAATTGCTTAAGTGACCTCTCTGATGTAGGACTAAGTGCCCTTATTTTCAAAAGGGATCATGGCACCCAAGAAATGAATCGAGGGCACTGAAAAGAAGCTGGATAGTTATGTTCATTTGGTATTTATATTGGTTCTATTTGCATACGGAAAACCGTTGCGCCGCTTTTGTTTTGTCGGGTCCGCCAAAAAAAAAAGACACCATGATTTTCCCCATGTCCTTGTGGCCTGAGTAGTTTGCCCGGTGGGCACATCCTTTTTCAGATAGAGTTTGGGCTTGGAGCCAATCAGTTGGCTCTTTGATTTCAAGACAAACCTGTACCAGGAGCAATACAATGTGGTCCGCTGTCTGTTTGGTTTGCAATGGACCCCTATTGGTTGAACTGGTTGCATGTTGTCATTCCTCACGTATTATTCGAAATGTTGACAAAACTTCGAAATCAGGATCCCGTCCAGTGCTAGGTGATTCGCTTCCTTTGGGGGTGCATTTCAATCCAAAGGGAGGAGGGGACTACCCTAGCAACGACATTTCACGCATAGCTTCACTCTGCAGCAAAGATGCTGAAACATTGGGCCGGTTTGGGGCGGGGTGCATGGTGAGAGTCCTTGAGGGGAGGTCCACTTTCCCAGAAGGCGTTGTTACTGGCTCACGAGTCGCACCGTGGAATTCAGAAGCCGTTTGTTGCTTTCCCGTGAGGGTGTCTGATTTGACCAAGTATGTCAGTGATTTTTCGTTGAAGTGTCATGACTGCAAGTTGAACCGCACCTGTCAGCTGTTAAGCCCAAGTTTTTTCCCCTGCAAATGATGGGATGGAGAGGGTACGGGGCAGAGGGGGCGGTGTCTGACATCGTGGGAGTAAAGCTCACGTCTTGACGTTTTGAGAGTCCAACTGAGATAGACTTTGGAAGCCAGGCGCTCTTCACCGTGAATGCTGTGACTGGAGCTGCAGAGTCAAGGTTCTGCTCAGAATGCATGAGCGTATATGGGCGCTTGCACCAGTTGCCCTTGGCTCGGTTTCTTTTTAAAGGCCCGATGGACCTGCGAATGGTTTGGACTTTCTGAACTTGCTTGTTCGTTCAGAAGCTGGAGTCTTAGCAGGGA